TATGATTTCAAGAATATTCATACATTGACATCTACTTTAAACCAGCAGTTGGCAAACTACAACACATGGTTTAGTACAACCCACTGCCTATTTATTTATTTATTATTTATTTATTTATTTTAACTGTAATTATTTATTTTTATTTATTTAAGATTTCTGTCTCTTCCTAATGTGGGAATCTTAATTCGACTTGATTTTAGGTTAAAAGCACCATCAGCCTTGTTGGGAGGCAAAAGGAGGCTTGTTGGAAGTTCAGAGGAGGCTTGGTTCACACAGTGAGCTCCAGCCAGTCAGGACTCCATAGTGACACCCTACTGAGACAGAGAAGGAATAAAAAAAGCAGTACTGTAGGTGACTGTGTTAGTGAGCTACACCTGCTTCAACTGCCCACTGGACGTGTGCTCTTCCAAACTCATTCCTTCCTTATTTAAATGTTTCATTTATTGGTTTAAAAAAAGAAATGATATGCAATCACTCCTGGAATGAAAACCTCTGTGGGGAAAGGTGGTCCGCACGCTTTGTTAGAAATACCTTTTTCAGGTATCTAATCCCAGCATTTGGGAGGCAGAGGCTGACAGACCTCTGTGAATTCAAGGCCAGCCTGGTCTACTAAGCAAGTTCCAGGACAAGGTAGAGAAACCTTGCCTCAAAAAACAAAAACAAAACAAACAACCCTCCCCCAAACAAAACAAAACAAAAAGGCCAGGTGGGTGGCACATGCCTTTAATCCCCGCACTAGGGAGGCAGAGGCAGGCGGATCTCTGTGAGTTCGAGGCCCATCTGGTCTACAAGAGCTAGTTCCAGGACAGGCTCCAAAGCTTCAGAGAAGCCCTGCCTCAAAAAATAAATGAAGGAAGGAAGAAAAAAAGAAAGAAGAAATACTTTTTCCTTTTTTTTTGAGGCAGGGTTTCTCAGTGTAGCCTTGGCTGTCATGGAAATCACTCTATAGACCAGGCTGGCCTCTAACTCAGAGATTTGCCTGCCTCTGCCTCCTGAGTGCTGGGATTAAAGGCATGCGCTGCCACCGCCCAGCTAGAATTACTTTCAAGCCAGAGTCAGCCACTGCGTCAACATGCCTGGCATCTCTGGTACAGTCTGTTCAGTTTGTTATACACACCTGCTCCATGACACAGGCTACTAAGTAACTCACATTTAGAGTTTCAGCAATGCACACTAAACATTTTTTAAGGTGTGTAGGTAGTTTGCCTACATGTATGTATGTATGTATGTGCACCATCTGTGAGCTTTGTGCCTGAGGAGGCTAGAAGAGAGTATTATCTTCTAGACATCGAATTACAGAGAGAGCATTGGGAATTGAACCCAGGGCCTCTGGAAGAATACCCAGTGCTCTTAAGCCCTGAGACATCTCTCCAGACCCCTTTCCACCCCTTTACGATTAAAACCTTTTAACATTAGGATAGATAATATTGGATTTCATTATGGTGATTTCAAATACAGTTTATTTTTGCTAACTCTTCTCCCCCCTCCTCTGGCCTCCCAGTCCCCATGACCTTGTGCTTCTCAGCCACCTTCTCACTTTGATGTCACGGGTATCTTACTGCCTGCCCCTCCTGCCTCTTCAACTTCCCCTTTTCTCATCACCTGGTCTCCTTTCTAATTTCATATTGTGTGCCCACACTTATACCCAGTGAAATGCATCTGTATAAGCTAGGAGCCACATATGAAAATTTGTCTTTCTGAGTTTGGGTTGCTTCGCTTAATCTATTTTCTAGACCCAGGAAGAGGTTCCCAGCATTTATTATCAGAAGTGTTGTAACATATAGGTAGCCTAACAAACAAATGGGTTAGTATACTTGTAGCATAAACAACACAGAGTTGTATGATTAACACATAGGGACAAATATACCCAAACAGTTTCCACAGAGACTGTATTTTTAATCCCACAAGCCACCCATGAAAACATCTATTTCTTTATTGTCCATTTACAGCATTTTCCTTTCCTGAGGGGCTCATATGAAGAGCAGGAAACTCTTACGTATCGTTTCATTTACTGGTCTACCTCAAAATGGTTTTCTTTCCTCCCCCTTTCAAAGCACCTTCTTTCCATCACTTAAAATCATCTCTGCTCTTCCCTGTGAGAGACGCATTATCTCTCCTCCATCCCCCTGCAAATACTGAGTATCAGGCAAAGTTCCAGGAGCTGAGGCTTGAAGAATGACTAGAAGTGACCAAAGTCCTCATTTACAACAGTCGTTATCATGAGGAGAGTCGGACCATAAACAACACACAAGTGTCATCGGTGCTGCTTTAGACAGTGATGCCTTGAGAAAAACAAAGGATGTGAGAAGCAAGGACCAGGGCAGTCACTCTAGTGAAGGGTGGCCAAAAGAGGCCAGGGTACGACATTTACCTAAAGACTACAAAGGACTCTTTCTTCCTCCTGTGTGAGTAAGGGGAGAGCATTGCAGGTCATGGAGAGGGCACAGGACTGGAGCTGAGGGTGTTTAATGTGCCCCGGAAGTTTCAAGGAGGACAGCAGGCTAGGGCTTCCACTGAAGGAAGAGAGTACACGCTGGAATCAAGGAGGTCAAAGAATTTGGCAGTGAGCCAAATGCTAAATTCTCACAGTCAAATGGGAAAACCACTGGAGTTCTTAGAGGATGATGAAGATTGACCCACTGAGAAGAGTCAGAGGGAAGCAGGCGTGGAAGAAAGGAGGATCACTTAGGAGACAGCCTGTCAACCAGGTGTGAAACACGAGTGAGGCAAGGCACTAGCTAAGGAGCTAAGGGGGTAGAGAAGGTTCGGATCTAGCTCCGTTTTGAAGATAAAGCACTGTGCTTTCAACTTAGCTCACCTGTGATCCCAAGTTCATTTGTAGTCTTGGTCTCCAGTAGTAATTTGAGTAATTTGAACTTTTATGAGGTTGGGTTATTAGGGCATCGAGTCTGGCAACCAAAGAATGATCCCAGGAACCTACATACTAGGAGAGAATGGGTTCAGCAAGTTGTCCTCTGACCTCCACATGTGTGGCTTGTGCACACCCACACACATAAAAAGGTTACCTTACTAAAAAAAAAAAAAAGTCACTCTAGAGACAAGCGTGGGTCCTTCTGTCTTTGGTTTCCAGTCTCCCAGTTGATGTGACCTCTTCTGTAGGCACGTACTTCTGCTGTTGTGACACCATCTGCTAAGGAGGACTGTTCATAGCCGAGCAGATGTTAGCGTCACGCTCCTGCACCTTCCAAAGCTGGAGCAATATTACCTTCCTTTCCTTACATATTGCCGATTTGAAAATAGACTAATAGATATAACTAGCATGATTTTTCTTGCTGACTCAATTCTGGGTGAGCGATAAAAGGTAAAAGTAATTTCAAGGTCCTCCCCTTAAGTGTGAGCGAAGGAGTTGCCTTTATTGAGAAAGGAAAACACTGTAGGTGGAGCTGATGGGTTGAGATTAGGTTTATGACTAACAGGGTTTTCCAGCGTCTCCTATGGCCACAGGTCCGGCATTAGTGTCACAGACCTCACTATGTCTGCACATCCTTGGGAAGATGTCTCAGAGGACATGTTTATAGGCTTTCCTTCTGCTCTCGATGAGGCTTGCTCTGACACAGCATATTAAAGGGCTATACATTCCTTTTTACGCGAATAAGCAAAGAAATAGGCAAACCCACACCGCACACCCCTACAAACCGTCAAAACGCAAAAGCTTGGTTTTCCATCCATAGTATAACCAGAAGACATTAGTTATTGGGGGCTCGCTGTCCTTTAAATGTCAAAACGCAGTTCAAGTCCGTATTCGTGAGTCTATGATGCCAGCAAGACACCAGTCCTACACAGTGCCAATTTGAAAAGTGCCTAACTGAAGAATATTCTGACACCTCTTGGGCAAATAATCTTGAAAGAAAGGATGCATGGAAAACAGCAGCCACTAACGTAACTGGTGAAACAGTACCTAAAATGGGATGCTTACTACAAATGCATAGGATAGTGGAAGGAAACAAAGCCGGCATCTTAAGTCATATGGAGGAGAGGAGAGGGGCGGTAGAAACTGGCTTGTAGGGATTCCTTTAAAGGGTTAGGAACAGACTAAAGGAAAGATACTTAAGATCGTGTCCTTGTAAGACAATGCAAACACAACATAGCCAAGTTCAGTTTTCCCGGAGCCTTGCCCGCCTCACAAAGCCAGTAAGACAACTGTACAGAAAAACCACCCATTGGTAGTTAAGGGAATCTAAAGTTGTTGTAAAGCAAGTGGAGTGGAGGCCAGACTAGGTGACTCAGATGCATGACTCAAAGCCGACACGGGGGCTGTCTGTCAGCTTCCAGAGGCGGGGGGCACTGCGTCTGGCACATTTCAGGAAAGTACCAGGCTCGGGAGGGCGACAGGAAGCTTGCCCGGCGCGTGCGTGAGTGTGCCAGGGCGGCCTCCGCCCGCCTCTCCCCCGCCACGCGCCCACCGCCCCGCCTTACGGGCCAGCCCGACCCTGCCTTCCACGCCCGGGCACGCGCGCCGGAGCCGCACGAGACGGACACCTGTCGGGCCCCAGCTCGGCGAGATTTAGGGCGCACCCCGAGCCGCCCGAGGATGGGGAGGGGTGTGTGTGTGTGGGGGGGGAGCCCGTTCTCGCGAGGTTTGGGAAATTTCCCACGGCCAGTGTTGTGTCTGAGCCGAGCGCTGGAAGGCGGTCGGAAGGAGGTGTAGCGTGAGACTCGGCTGCCCGCATTGCGCACATGCGCAGTGGCTCAGGCGCGCGCCGCGCCAATCCTGCGGCGCCTCGGAGCGGGTTTCGGGCAGCGGAGTCCAGTTGTCCGGGTTTTGCGGCTCCCTGCGGGAGGCAGCCCTGGAGCTGGGAATCTCTAGGAAAGGGAAGGGCAGTGGGGGGGGGGGGGGGGGGGGGGGGGGGGGGGGGGGGGGGGGGGGGGGGGGGGGGGGGGTGGGGGGTGGGGTGGGGGGGGGGGGGGGGGGGGGGGGGGGGGGGGAGGNGGGGGGGGGGGGGGGGGGGGGGGGGGGGGGGGGACACAGTGCCAGGCCACCGGCGGGGAGGCTGCCCCGCAGTCCCCTACGCGCCGCAGCTCCCGCGAGCTGGCCAGGCCGCCCTGAATGCCTAGGCAGCCTGAGCTCGACGGGAAGCTCGCTCCCGAGTGGGGGGCTTGAAGTGTGGCTCGGAGCGGTGGCTCTGGGGGAGAACCATTCGGGGACTCTGATGTGTGGCTGCGCGGTGGACGTCTGGTGGCGCCTTTGCCCGAGGCTGACCTCCTATTGCACCGGGGAGAAGCGGCAAAGACCACAGAGCTGACTCCCCGAAGCTTTCCGTCTGCAGAGCACGGGCAAGGGTCGGGCCACGCTGTAACCATGCCCGTGTCCCCACAAATGAATGGAGACAGCTACAGGCAGGTCACTGGGTCCGGATCTCTGTCCGGTCTCCGCCGCTCGGGCACCTGATCCCGACATTAGCATAAAGGAGGTGTCCAATGAACGGCTGAATGAATGAATAGGGCTGGGAACCCGCCGCGAGCGGGAAGCCACTTGGAAAACACCCACTTGAGGAGGCGTCTCGTCTAGGCCTGTGAAACGCTCACATTTTCCCAGGACCCCTCCTCCCGGCCCCGGGGCCCCGCCTCCTGACCCCTCCAGTCCTTGTCCCCGTAGTAATCCCCTCCGGTTTTCCTCAGTCTCCACGTACGGCCCCCGATGGCGCGTCTCAAAACCCGGATAACCGGAGCGCTCCCCATGGACTACACGGAGGGCTCGCCCGCGGAGGAGCGGCCTGCGCATGCTCCATCGCCGGGGTAGGTTTCCAGGGAAGGCAGCGTACAGGATCCCCTAGTCCGCGGGCGGCGCGAGGTGGCAGGCTCCCGGCGGCGGCGGAGCGGGGAAAGGCGGCGCGGGGGCCGGGTGGCAGCGCTCAGCGAGGCCGAGGGAAGGGGCGGGGGAGAGGAGCAGGGAAAGGCGGCGGGGGGAATCTCGCGAGGGTTGGAGTTTTGGCGAGAGTTTGTGGAAGATGGCGCCTGTTGTGACAGGGTAAGTCTGAGGGGGCAGCGAGTGCTGGGAACCGGGAAAGTTGCGGGCGTCTGACCGCCCGCGGCAGGCGGCGGGCCCGGGCTGCGCGGCGCGCCCCGGCTCGGGAGGGGGGCGCGGGCGGCGACGCGGTGTCGCGGGCCGGTGCGGGACTCGCCGTGCGCCGCGGTGGAGCGGGCTCCGGCGCGTGAGGGCGGGCGGTGACGAGGCCGGCGGCTGCGGGCGGAGTGCGGTCGGCGCGCGGGGCCGTGGGCGCCGTGCCCGCCGCGCGCCCCCTCGGCGGGCCTGGCCGGGGAGCCAGCGCAGCTTTGTTCCCGGCGGCCCGCGTCGCCTGTCCGCTCCGCCGCTGTCCCCGGAGCCCGGGCGCTTTGTCTCCGCGCACTGCCCCCCGCGACTCTGCCCCCGGCCCTTTGTTCCGCCGCCTTAGGCGCTCGGTGGGAGCCGCTGCGCGCCCCGCATCCCGTCTGCACCTCCACTTCACTGTCCTTCCTCCCGTGCCCCTTTGTTGTCTCCTTCTCCTCCGTAGCCGGGTGACCTGCCACAGCCCAGGCACCAGATTCCTGCCCCTCTTTCTTCCATTGTCTTTCTCCTGTATCCCTTCTCACCTTTTTCTGTTTGGTCCTTAGTCACCCCCAGAGGCTTTGTCTCCCCTATCTAGTGGCTCATTCGCCTAGCATCCCCTTCCTCTCGCATCACTGCTTGCTTGATTTATCCACTGCCCTCTGTGTCTGTTGAACTGTCTCAGCCCCGGGGACTCCATCTGGTGCTTCGAAGTGCGCACAGACTCTACGGTTTGCTTTTGTTGTTGGAGTCTGGTAGATGCTTGGGGAATAACTTAAGTTTGCTCCTCCGCGCCCCTCCTTTGCTTCGCACCCCTTTCTTTCGGGATCACCCCAACACCACCCCCACGCTCCCTCCTCCTCTCCCCCGTGCGCCGTTCTCCTGGGATTTAAACGACTCAGATTTTCTTTGCCATCTTTCTAGACTCGTGATTGTTTTGCTTGGTAGCAGTAGTGCTGGAAAAAGAGCTAGATTCTTGATGGTTATTGCCTTTCATTATTGCTTCTGCTGGCTCAGGCCAAGGGCATCCGTAGTAGCGTTGCACTTGAGTTATCCGAGGATTGATGAAAGGTATATTGTAAGACTGTTAGAAGTAGGCGCAAAGGTATTCCTTTTTTTCTTCTTCTCCTGTTGGTGTTCGAGAATAGTTCAAATATTCACAATGGATATTCATTTGGTGTGAGTAGGAGGTGAGTGAATTTTGATTTGAAAACTTGTGAATGTTGGGGTGGAGAATTGTATCCCACCCACCACCCCCGGAATCTGGATCTACAGTTTAATTGTTTTCTAAGGAAGAGACATCTCGCTTTTGGTAAATGGTTTGCTTCTTAATTTAAGTTAGAGTTTACCATTTATGATTGTTTGAATTTGCAGTTCGTGATTTTTTTACTTCTGAATGTGTGGTACCTTGGGATCAGGTGCGGGAGAGCAGAGGGCAGTTTTGGTTTGATGAATACTGACTGCTTTTAGGATCTTTGTGGAATACATTAATTACTGGCAGTCAAAAGACAGTGATAGCTTTTAGTTTGGTTATCTTAAAGGTACTTCCTTCTGTTGCAGGAGCTTTAAGTTGTTTTCAGCTCTGTTGTTATGGTGATGTTAAAAGCTTGGGGTGATGACTAGGGGGTGTGGTGTAGGTTATTGTATACTAATGGCCTGAATTATTGTGCTAAGATTAATGTAACAGGGTTGTTAATACTGAATGTATTGTTCAGGATTTTTTTTCTGCTAGTTGGATCACTACTTTTAGAAGATACATTGCCCATAGATAGAGTCATTGGAAGCTTCATCTCTTTAATGTACACAAAGGGCTGTTGATGAGTTTGTAGAAGATGAGGTCTAAGGAATGGTGGCACTTTGGGAAATGTTGGCACTTTTTAAAAACGTGGTGATTAGAATTAGTAGGCTGATTTCTTTTTTCAGGGGAAATCATTTTTTTTTATGAGTGATACATGAAGTTTTCTTGTGAGAATTTTCATTTGTCTCCTATTTAGTGCATAACTCTGGAGGTTAAAATCAGGCACACACTGGTTCTGACCTAAAGCACAGTGTAAATAGTGTGTAATAATGGAATGTAGTTTGCTCTGATTTGTGCATTTAAGAATGATCACATACAGCCTGGTCTACAAGAGCTAGTTTCATGACAGACTCCAGGCTCCAGAGAAACCCTGTCTCGGAAAAAAAATGATCACATAAAGACACCATAAAGTGAGTTTTACAATTGAGTTGTGTTGTTTCTAAACATGGGAAACTTTATCTTAGTCAAAAGGCTGAGAGAAGTGATCATTTAAGAATTTTAATGAAATAAAAAACAGCACCTTAATTAGACAGCAGTATATTTAGACATATATGGGATGGACTGTAGCTGGAAAACTTTCTGAGAATTGACAATTTTAGCTTTAGATTTATTATCCCCAATGTTTGTAGGGAAACTGAGACTGGTTTGTAGTATTTTAGATTGATTGCACACTTCTAGAGCAGTCACAGTTAAATTTATGTAAAAATCACTTCTTGTCATATACTCACAGATTTCTCCTATTTCTTAAATGGATAAGATGAAAAACAAAGGGTATACTGCTATTGCCAGATGTAATTCATTAGATAACTTTTGGTATCATGGATGGGTAAGGCATTAGAAGAAAATGATTATGTTTTAAAGTTCTTATATGTTTTAATTCTGAGGTTCACTTCATTTTTAGAAATAAGACTTGGCTTGAAAGCATTATTTTGCATTTTGCTTCCTCCCAATACTACATTCATGTTATTTCAGCTAGGGGCAGTATTTTCTCATGGATTGACTAAAAGTTGTTATTTTTGGCATCTGGCTTTGTGATTAATTCCAAGTTATTCTATTTCCTCTGCCAGTTTCCTAACTCCGTAGAATGGGAATGGAATAACTTGCCACATCTGCAGAGATGCACCCTGGGGTTTTCAGAACCCCCTTGGATGAACAGTGTGCTTAAGATCTAGGAACTGTTATTGAAATGAGCTGATGTGAAGTAGGTCATATTTTATAGGAAGTCAAGTAGGAGGTTATGGACTAAGTTCTTGGCAAGTTATAGGATATAGGAGTGACAGTAGAATGACAAGAAAACCCAACCATGTATTATAGTTTGTAGAAAAGATAGATCTTTCTTATAAATTTAGAGGGAGAGGGTCAAGCAAAATAAGCTTGTGTAAGAGATTGAAGCTCTATTAAACCAAAGTGTAATGGCACATTGTAAAATCATGGGATGCCTTTTTTGATTTCTGCATGTAGTAACACTTTTTAAAAGATAGTAAAGAATGTTTTCCCTGTACTCTTAGCCAGGTCTGTTAATAGTAATGACAACTTTTATATTTGGCCTACATTTTTTTGATGCTTTGTCATATGCTTTCAAAAATATTTTCTGACCACTAGGACGTAAGTTTATACTTGACTCTTGGTTTTAGGGAAGGTTTGTTTCTTTTTTTGCACTTGCTACCTACTGATGAAACCCATTGCTCCTTTTGACAGCTCCTTTTGTCAGTCAGGTGTCATCTGGTCCCCCTAGCAAAGTTAGGCTTCCACTTAAGAGTGGACGGTTTTTAGTAAGCCGTCCTTTACTTCTGAACCAGTGAGAGAAGGTTGCACCATTCAGCCCAGGCTGGCCTGGTGGTTAAGATACTCCTGCCTAAACCTCCCCAGCGCTGGGATTGCATTTGTGCACATTCCTTCTTTCTAATTACTAAGAACTGATAGTTTTACAGCCTAAACAACCCCTTTACTCTGTCTTGTCCTTAATGCCACAATGCATGCTGACATCACTTCACCTATTTTTACCACAGGCCTCCTTCCCTTCTAGATTTACCTCTAGATTCTCTAGCTTCCCCATGGCCAGAGCAGTGTTTCTGAACAGTAAATCAATCACTCTAGTTTAAAAAGCTTTCAATAGCTCCCCCTACAGCCTTCACTAGGAGAAGCAGCAGACTTTGAGGTCACTTTTAAGCTTTGCTCTCTCTGTCTGTGTTGGGTTCCAGTTCTGTTTTTCTTTCCCTTAAATCTCTGTAATAGAATCTGGCCTATTCTTTCCTCGTCCATCAGTTGCAAGGTAATTATTCCTAATTCAGAGGGTTGTGAAAGTTAAGTGAGATAGTAGTTGAAAGCATTTATAGAATTCAAGGTATATACTTAAATCTTTGCTAGTGTTTCATAGCAGGTTCTCCATAGCCATTTATTTCATAGATGCCTTTTTCACCTTCAGTGCTCATATTTAAGAACTTGGAGTGTTTCTGCATAGGCTCAACAGTTTAATGCCTCCCTAAACTTGAAAAATAGGTTATTCTTTGAGACTGAGGTCAAGAGACTAGTCTAATGAAGATATTGGGCTAAGTTCCATGCCCCTGCTGTGTTATTAAAAGATGGATGTAATTCATTTGGAAGTATGTTACTAAATTGTAATGTAATTATATTCAAATACTGTTAGTTACTTGGTGACAGATACCATTTTTTCTTAATCATTTATATATCTCAGGACTTGATAGGGAGTAGCTGAAAAAAATTTCAAACAGAAGACTTACATTATTTTGAAACATGAATATACTGTGACTATATAATCTAAAGTTAGTATATATAAATTTCTCATGTAATAAAGATACTTACGTATCTCTCATTTATAATTCTGTTAAGAAACTGTTGCTGATGAACCTAAAGGAATTTTTAGCCTCGGGCTGTCACATAGTATTAGAAAAC